TTTTAACATTATATTTTGAATGCGTATTATTCATCAAAATCCATCCTATTTGAGCTGATCTTACACTTTTTAGGCACAATAACGTGAAATCGGGTGAAGGCTTAGGTATTTCTATGCTGTATCTGATAGTTGGCACCAAATATAGTTGTTGTGGAGAGTATTTTACGGATGTGAGGGAATAAAATAAAAAATCTGAAGAACCAAATATATGGGACCTATAGCTATATCTTAACCGATTTTCACCATATTTTATACACTTTCTGCAAGGCTAAATTCGTTCGTATGTGCCAAATTACATTTAATTCGACTGAACAGAAATAAATAGCCATTCTAAAATGCCAATACATATTCACGTACCGGTTTATTTAAAGTGTAAATCCTATTTTTCGTCCATGGGCTTTATTTTGAGATTTAATGAATATAAATGATATAGCACATCTTTTAAAAAGTATATATCAGATGTTTATAATAGCCCCATGTATTGTAAAGAACGTCTTTTAAAATGTATATTAGATGTTTATAATAGCCCAATGTATTGTAAAGAAATTAGAAACAATTTCCATTCAAATCTGCTGTAATTTGGAATTTGCAATGTTTGGAACATCTTGCTGCGTGGTATTTAGTTTTGTCCACCTCACAATTTGTGAATGTGTCCGCCTCATCACTTCAGAATAGTGACTAGTAACTACTCTTTTACACTCATCACCATGTCGCCTCAAATTGTGCTTTAGAGTCACAATAAAGTCAATGGTTTCAATTTCGAACAATGACGCTTTGTTCGCCAATCGGTTAAAATCTGTACAGATCGGTGGACCTGGGAGGTACTTTTATATGGGAACAATACTAAAATATGTGTATGTGTTGGGATTTTAGTGTGAGATGTGTAGCCTTAATACACATTTTTAGCAACAACGATAGAAAAATATGAACAATGTCCTCGACATAAGTAAAATCAGGGGATTATACCAAATCGGTCTATACTTATAATTTTTTGAAACAAAACGAACGGTTTCTTTTTTCTAAAGGCTAAATTATCTAAATTTGCCGAAATTAGTTTGAAAAATATACCTACAATAGAAATAATACTTGGTATACTCTTATTCGGGGGCTATACCAAATCGTAGACCCACATGATATTATAAGACTGTATGAAATTTAAAATTCTGACTTTAATTTTACGATGTTTAGAGAACACTATTCGAAGCCCTTTGTGTATTGTTAAGGTTATTTAAAATGGAACCTGAAAAAAGTTTGATCTGGGAATCCAAAACAATTTTGGGATTTTGATTTACTAACCGAATACTATCCACTTTCAATTGTAACTCGCTATTGCGCATAGTCCCCCATATAACGGTACCTACGATTTAAGTATCTTCAAGGGTTCGAAAATTCTTCCGGAGGATATGAATCCTTTTCTTACTAAATTTTAAATTCATTTTACCATTTCCTATATTCCGTATATTGTAATTGCAATCTCAACGATTTTTTTCATTGGACGGATTATTTTTATACCCTCCGCCTTGAAAAGGAGGGTATATTATGATTGTCAATTGCCATTTGTAACATTCCTAAATATTCGTCGTTGACCAAATAGAGTATATATATATTCATGATCAGCATAAAATTCTAAGTCGATTTAACGATGTCCGTCTGTCTGTCTGTTGAAATCACCATACACATTATTTAAAAAATTGTATAGGTCCATGCTTTCGTATAGCACCCTTATAACGATACTTCCCAATAGTCGGTATTTTGTAAAATATGGTATTTGTAGTTCATAATGGGTTCTAGCTTCGATGGCAGAACATTGAATATTTAGGCCCGCGTTTTCTTAGCGCACATATAGTGATACCAACGAAATTGTTTCAAACTTGATATTTAAAAAGACTTGGTATATGACAATCCTTGAAGTATAAAATTTTCTATGGAGGTTCCCGTTTTGGTATGGCCCCACACCCACTTTATGGTTTTTTGAAAAGTTTAGCAGCATTATCCAAACGGTCTTACTTGTATTTGAGGTTTAAAGTGTACAATGTGTGAATTCTTATAATTTTATATAAAAACGCATTGCGTTGATTTAATCTGTTGTGATCTAATCAATATTGTTAAAACTCAGCACTATTTAGATTCTATATAAGGTCATACATAAATAGGCCATTGTGCAGTGAAGTTTAAAAGTTGCCTGAAAAAGGTTATAGTCTTCTATCATCATTAAACCGTAAGAAACAAAGTACATTTTTTTTAATTTGAATATTCAACATTTTTTTAAATCACATATTGAGTGGTTACATATGAATTTGGTTTCTCCCGTGGGAAAGAGCATCAGGCATGAGAATGATTTCATAAAATTCCCCTAATGGTTTTCTCCATGGAAATGGCATCTGTACACATACACATGTTTTCACCAAATCCTTTTTCGTTGAACGTACGTATCTTAAAGTGGCATCGGGCCAACAGCCTGTACTTTTTGTGGCAACCAATGTTGCGGCCATTAAATGATTACAAACGAAATGGTACGGTCTCGGCATTATTATTTTAATCACTGAAGATGTAACAAAAGGATGCGAGAAGCACTTTAATCTCCTCTTTGCACATTCCATTAACCATTGTAGAGTTTTCTTTTCATGTACATTGGACATGGAGATACAGATATAAGCACAGTGGCACACATTTTAATATCGACAGAATGACAAAAATAACAATTTGATTGCCAACACGTTATTCAATAAATTGAATGTTAATGCCTAGGAAGTTCAATTATTTTTACGGATTAATATTTTAAACCCCTACCTAATTCTTAAAGAAAGCATTCGAAGATTTTTTTCACCACAAGATTTAAACACTTGTATTTATATGAATTTTGTCGAAGTAAGTCGAACGTACTAATTTTTAAAGTTGAAAAATTCATCATTTTTGTACCTCTTAGCCACTTCAAATATAAAATTTCAAACAATTTCGATTAATATTTTACCTACAATTGTGAAAATACCGAATATAGTATGGATTTGTAGACAATTCCATTGACCAATGTAGCTAAAATCATCAAAATACTGAATATAGGGAGGTACCGTTATTTGGGGGATATATGATATGGTGGACCTATAAAGACAATACTTTTCTAGTAGGTAAAGTACACAGAAGGAACTCCTTTTGTGGATTTTCAGAAATGTTATTGAAAAATTTGGCTACAATCATCAAAATACCGAATATCGGGGGGTACCTTTATATGGGGGACTATACGATAGCGTGGACCGATATAGTCCATCTTCGAACTTGACCTGACTGAAGACAAAAGACAGATCTGTGCAAAATTTTAGCTCCCTATATTAATTCGTTTTGACTGTATCGTGATTACAACAGACGGACAGACGGACGGACATGGCTAAATCGTCTTAGAATTTTACGCTGATCACGAATATATATATTTCGTTAGGTCTAAAATAATTATTTCGATCAGTTACAAACGGAATGGCGAACTTAATACACCATCCATACTATGTGTATGGTGTAGGGTATTAAAAAGAAAACATTTAGGAGAAAATTAATTCTCTGTTTTTCTTTGTATTCTGCCATTTATTTCAATTGTTTTTAAATATGAAGAAAATCCAAGGGCGTATTGACTAGTTAAAAACTACTTTGCACAGAACAATAACTAAATATCTTATCTCTAAAGAGCAAAAAAAAAAAAAAATAATAAGTTGGGATAGTCTCGAAAAAGAAAGAAGCGTCTTATACATAAAATTCAAAATAAAGCTCACACACGTCGTCGGCTGGCTCTTTTATAAAAACAAAGAAGGTTGACTTAGTTAACCTTCCCTAGTTAAATTTCGAATCATGATAAACATTAAGTATTTTTCCACATTTTGTTGTGAATAAATCATTTTGTCTCGTACCATCGCTCGGTACCGTGATACAGGTAGCGTAGTCCGACGTCAAGAAAGGGGATTGGAAGAACAGCAACATCGGCAGAAATGGTTCGAAAAGTAATGAAGCGACTTGATCGAAACTCGCGTCGCAGTGGCGGAAAATGGCTCGTGAACTGAACATATCGCAATATTCCATTCGGCAAATATTGAAAAATGAGCTCGGGGTAAAGCCATTGAAATTCCAAAAAGTGCAAGAGCTTACACCGCAACAGAAAAAAAATAGACCCAAAAGAGCTAAAGAGTTGCTTCGCTAGGCAGAAAGTGGTGAACTACCGAATTTGGTTTTCTCCGATGAGAAAACATTCGTTGTCCAGCAGTTTGTAAACAAACAAAATTATCGTGCCAAAGAGGTCAGTTGAAAATGTGCAGCTTCGGTTGGCCACCAGAACTCAAACGCCGGTCATGGTGAGAGTGTGGGCCGCCATAACAGCCGATGGTCGCTCTCCGCTCGTATTAATTGACCGTGGTATCAGAATAAATGTATTAAAGCCTTGGGCACGCAAACATTTTAGCCACAAACAATGGACATTCCAACAGGACTCAGCACCATCGCACTCAGCCCGCGCCACCCAAAAATGAGGTTCCTCGTTTCATTTCCTGTGCACAATGGCCACCAAAATATGCGGATACCAATCCGTTAGACCATTGTGTCTGGAGTATTTTGAAAAGCAAGTTTGGCACTAAAAATACTAAAGTATCGATCACCTCAAGCAAGCGCTTCGCCGGGAACGGGCCAAAATACCGCAGAGCAACACTTGGACAGCGTGTGACGGTTTCATTGGTCGATTGAAGGCCATAATTCGTGCCAAAGGTGGCAAATTCGAACAAATCTAAACTTATTCTAAAAATCGATGCTATTTCCGACAGTTTTTGCTTTCATTCAATAAAATTAAAAAATATATAAAAATTATGGCGTTTGACTTTGTTGCAGTTTTTTTATCTCACCCTATATTATTTCGGTACACTGTGAAATATAGTGCTTGCTTTCTGTAAAATTTTATCATTTCCTTTTTGTTGATATTGAGGCATTTTGTATTGTCACAATTTTCATTGTTTGTTTATTGTTTTACTCACTTTCCAATTCGTAATAACCTTCGTCCGGCTTGCCATTATTGATATGGATTTTGGCCATACGTCTGGCACATTGATCTTCATCGAGACGGACAATGGACTTTAAGAACTCCATCATTTCATCCATGGTTTCATGCCACATTGTTGCACAAACAATGAGTTGTGCAATCTTATCCGATTCCAAAATATCAGTGGCTGGGTCGCCATTCAAGGCCTTCTTGTTGCCGCCCTAAATGTCAGAGGAATGGAATGAAATAAAATGAATGGTGGCAATAAACATTAAAGAAGTTAAGGATTTTTTAACGTGTTAAAAATCATTTAAAGAGGTATTTGCAGGATTATGTTTTTTAGAATACGTATAACTGTGTATGTAGGAATGTCGCTTCTACTGCCAAGATATGGGTGCGAATAAATAATAAAAAAGTGTGTTCTCGGAAACGAGCTTTTTATACCCCACAACTCTGTGTGTTGAGAAATATTGGTTCCCCACATAGGAACGTATATATGAATCTTCTTATCTCGCCGAGCTGAGTCCAGCTATGTATGTCCGTCCGTCTGTCCAGGTTAATTTGTAATCACTCTACAGGTCGCAATTATGGCCCGATCTTCACAAAATTTAGAATGCTAGGACCAGAATAGAAGCCTATTGCTTTTGAAGATGATTCCTGATATTGCAGTTGCTCTACAGGTCGGAAGTTAGCATGGGGCTAGAGCTTAGGGCTGTGCAGAAGCCTTCCAAATTTGATGGTCATTGGGTAATATTTAGTGGATGAAATATACCATAAGATTTGTGTTAAATAAAAGTCAAACTTTCCCTGGAACCGCGAATATTTTTAATTCCAGCGAAATCACGAAGACGAACAGGTCAATTCTGAGCGTTACGTAGATGCCGATAGTAAATATATACAATGTGTATATACAATTCAGAATGCCCTCTTGGCATAAAAGAATAAAATCTAAAAAATCGCATAATATGTTAATATAGATGTTGATATAATAATGATGTTAGTATAGATGTTGTAGTATTTTGTGACACTTTTTTATTTTTTCATATATTTTATTGCATACGATTTTTTCAATTTGACTTAATATTGAAGTGTATATTTTGTAATAACTGTTTACCTTACAACACAGGTTTTGGTTATTTTATACAATCTGCAATTATCGTCCGATCATCACGAAATTTTCTCAAGGGTAGGGTTAGGTTTAGAAGGCCTATTGTTTTCAAGATGTAAATGTAAATTTAGGGGTTGAAATGGACCAAAAACAGAAAAATATCCTGATCAAAATTGAAGTCAATCGACACGCCCGAGAAGAGAGTGAAGGACAGGGAAGAATTCTAGCGTTTTGGATGACCATTGGATTACATTTAGCTGTAAAATCGACCACAACAACTAACAGCAAGACGGAGTGCCTAAATATTGGGCAAATGTCCCTGTTCAAAATGCTAAAGGTAATATCTAGGCAGTGCTCCGTGATCAAAAGCGAAATTTTTCAAAATGGATTCGGACATAAAGGGGCTTCTAAAATATTGTAGGGTATCACATGGTCGGCCACGCACGGCTATAGCCTTTGCTTACTTGTTGAAAACTTAATTGGAATTTTTTATTATTGTGCGTTTCCCTCATTTTCGAGACAGATATTATATTTTGAGGAATTTTAAATATATATCCACTTAGAAGCTCAAATGTTAGTACCGTTAAAATGTTTAAATTTGACAATACCAAAGGGGAACCTATACAACATATTTTTCGCAAAAGTGTCAATTATCCAGTTAACATATTAAGATGTTAATTATAATTCCATACGTGTTACTTGTCTCATTTCACTTCTTTTATGGGGAAAACAAAATTAATATATCCTTCTTATGTAATTTTAGTACCAATGGTAATAAAGTTTATATTATAAGGTCTAATGAAAAACTTAACAAGTAAAAAAGCAGATAAGTTCGGCAGGCCGAACTTTTAATACTCTCCACCATTTCGAAGGTAACTTCAAATACGAAATTTTAAATAATTCCGGTAAATAATGTTGCTGAAATCATCAAAATATCGAATATCAGGAGGTGCCGTTATATGGTGGCTATACGAATACTTGGACCTACATACAACAATTTATTCATAGGCTGTAGTACCCATTGCGAACTTCAAATACAACATTTAAAATAATTTCGGTAAATAATGTCGCTAAAATCGTAAAAATACCGAATATCGGGGGTACCGTTATATGGGGGCTATACGAAAACATGGGCCGGTATGGCCCATTTTCGAACTTAACCTGCCTACTGGTAAACTATGCATGTATGCAAAATTTTATAAACTTGTTCGAAAGATAGCGTGATTACAACAGACAGACGGACATCGCTAGATCGTCTTAGAATTTTTCGCTGATATAGAATATATGTACTTTGTAGGGTCTATTATGAGAATTTCGAAGAGTTACAAATGGAATGACAAAGTTAATATACCCTCCATAGAATGGTGGAGGGCATAAAAACCTGTAAGGAAAAGTCTAAAGTCGGGCCTATAGCTATATATGAACCGATTTTCACCAAATATAATATACTAGCTTCTAGACTGAATTCGGTTGAATGTGTCAATATTCAGGTCATTTGGACTTATATTGGCCATTTGATGCACAATTAACCGGAAATCTCTTGAATATATATGGGAACTATATCGAAATCTGATTCGATTATCACCAATTTCAATAGGGTTCGTCCTTGGGACAAACATATATTGTTTAAAAGATTTCATCTCAATCGGATAATAAATGCGACCTGCATTTTTTCAGAAGAATACATGGACTCACGGACGGACAGACGCACTGACATGCATAAATCGACTCAGAAAGTGATTCTATGAAGATCCTAAAAAATAACTATAGGTCTATCTCGCTCCCTTCTCCATGTTACAAAAAAAATGCTCAAAGACATAATACCCTTGCCACTATGTGGTGTAGGGTATAAAATAATTCATCCTTTGGTATAGTTGAAAATATTTTAATACCAAATAATGTATCGATTATTTGGCATAGAAATATTTTCAAATTGCTTGCAACTCGGTTTTGTTATTACTTTTAAAATATCTCTTTTTCGGTTTCTAATCAGTGCTATTTTAATTACAATACTTATTTTAATTAATAGTACTGAAAGTATGACCCATAAACTTAAAGCGCAATAAATAAATAAAATGTTGCGGAAAACTACTTTTTAACTACCATTAAATACCACTGCGATGCTTGCATTTCAAATCGTTGCTAATGTGCATTGTGGAGGCCAATTAAAAGGAACGACTCTTTGCATCGAACATTACCTGCATACAAATTAACTTACCTTAATTGATAAGTACTCTTCATTCCAATCCACAATACGTCTATTCAGCGCAATACATTGTTCTACCAAAAAGCCGCAATACCACGGACAAATGAACAGCTTCTCGGTGGGAAGGTTCTTGTCGTTTTTCGGACGCCAGATATGATGTGTTACCCACAGTTGTGAGAGCCACCACAACAGCCAAATCCAAAGGTGTTCTACGACAATTTTATTCATGAAATCAGAAAGACTGCCATAACCGCCATCCCCGTCCGACCCATCCGACACAGCCTGTAATGCCAAGTACGAGGGAAAGTATTCGTTAAGGGCACACACATTTGACTCCCGCAGCCATGTTAGAGCAACTGTGGTGACCACAGCCAATGGTGTAGCCAAACTCAAAGGCAGGGCGAAACTGAATTCTTGGATTTTTATTTTACATGCAAATTTGGCAAAAATATAACACAAATACGATGACAGCACCTGTACTAGCACCGTGTAGATGACTACATTCGTGTCTGATTTGATGGTGAATGTTTCACTGGCCTTCGTTAGAGTTGGGGATGTTGGGTGCGATGAATTCGATAATGTATTCACAACCATATCGACCTGTAAAGGAAATAAATGAGTCGCTTAATTAAAATAAACTATTTGCTGAGCATGTCGTAAGCATGTTCTGTACAACCGCATCACCTAAATACTCAAATTCAAACCTACCAAATCATGGTAAAACAGTTTCAAGTAAAAAAGAGAACTAAAGAAACATCAATTTAACTACAAACACATATGCTCTGTCCCAGAACTACAAGATAACTGATTTGATCGTTATGATATCGGAAAAAATGTCAATACTAGTACATCTTTGCAGGTTTTGGAACAGAGCAATAGTCAGAGATTTAAGTTCAAAAATGTATTGTATTTGTGTATATTTGAAACATAAATTTTAAATTAAAACGATAATTCGGACCGAACTTTCAAAAGCAAACCTCCACCATGAGGTATAGAAAGCATGTTTAAATAAATATATCAATATTTAATATTCGAACGTATTCCACTTTAAACTGCAAATAACTTCAAAATACGGTAAAGTGGACAAACCTGGTATATGTGCACATTACCGACACAAAATATAACAATTTTCTATACGCAAAGATTGTTGGTCTAAAATGCCGAATGTCTGGAGGTACCGTTATATGGAAGCTATTGGAAAACATGGATATGGGCGCTACTGTGTAATTTTTTTTAGAAACTATTGCGCAAAATTTTTAAGCTACAAGTCGAATAATATTTGCTGTATCTTTCAATAGATAGTCAGAAGGACGATTGAGAATTTCATTCTGAACTTGAATGTATATACGAATATTTAATAAGCGACCCATTATGTCACAAACGGAATGACAAATTTAATATAACCTGCTTTTCATGCTGAAGAAAATTGAATTTAATATGTTGAATTCATATGCACAGATATATTGAAAGACTTCAGAAAAACACTAGAAAATCATTTTAATTTTAATCAGCGTAAAATTCTAAGTCGATTTAATGCGTCCGTCCATCTGTTGTAATCACGCTCCAGCGCAGGCATGACTGCAGGCAAAAAACAAACACAGAGTTGACTTTTGTCTGCAGTCAGGTCAAGTTCGAAGATGAGACATATCGGTCCACGATTTCTTACGTATACTTTGACAATTTCTGCCACACTCTCTAAGGCAATAGTTAGAGTTTGCTATGTATTTGCTCTCATGTGGTACAATATTTTCAATATAGGTCCACGTTTCCCATATAAATTTACTTCTTAATATTCGGTATTTTTACGATTTTAACAACATTTTCTAATGGAATTACTTAAAATTCAGTATTAGGATTCGGTGATGGGCTCTTCAGCTTATATAAAGCAATTCCTATATAAGTCAAGATTTTTCTATAGCCCCTATGTGATGGACTTAAACCCCAAATCAGATAAAACATATATATGGAAGCTATATCTGAACCGATCCAAATTTAATGTACTTGTTTCTAGACTGAATTCGGTCAGATGTACCACAATTCAGGTCGTTTGGACTGATATTGGCTATTTGGTGCACAATTGACATGAAATTGGTTGAGGATGTATATGGGAGCTATAACCAAATCTGAACCGATTTTGACAAATTTCGATACGCTTTTTTCAGAGCTGTAACTGATATCTTGGCCAATGGAGTTATCCTGTTCCAAGGATACCTAAAGAAATGACCATACACATCGGAAATGGCCGGACCTTCCTATAATTTATTTAATGCCAATGGATAGTAGACTTCATAAGCTTTCCGTAGGTACCCATATTGTACCGGCAGAATTGTCCTGGAAGGCATATTGGCCAATGGAGTTATCCTGTTCCAAGGATACCTGCAGAAATGACCATATACCTCGGAACTGGCCGGACCTTCCTATAATTTTGTTAATGCCAATGGATATTAGACTTCATAAGCTTTCCGTAGATACCCATATTGTGCCGGCAGAATTGTCCTGGAAGTCACAGTTTGGTGTAAACTTGTCCTGGCACATAGTATTGTGCTACGAGTTAATAGGTGTATGTAGCCTTACAATCTTTGGAATATAATTTAATTATGATTATATAATGCATTTTGTTAGCGTTTTTATACGATAAGTAATTAAAAATCAAAAATATTCAGGAAAAAAACAATTTTTATGTAGCTCTGTTAACGCTAACATAGCTATGTTATGGTCAAAATACCGAATAACTGAATCTCCCTTTTGGAGATGGACACAACTATTCCAATGGCCTGTCTTATACACCATTATGTTTCATTTTAATTAACACCCATTTTTTAATTATTTCACCAAGTGCAAATGGCATATCGCTCAACGAGGCTGTGGTTGTTAGCCTGTGCGAAAACGCCAAACGCAACATCAAGTGTTCATAAATACTAGAATTCGTTCATTTTCAATTTTCGCGTTAAATAAATACTTTACCCTTTTAACCAGAATATTGTGTGGATTCCATGATTGGGTAAACATTGAAAAATACTGCGGGACAGGCAAGCCATGAACGCTAAACGCAATTGCACCGAATAGAATAACTTTCAATGGCGACAAATACAAATACGTGTGATAGCGTGATTTGGTTCGACGGACCATTTTAATCAAGTTGCCTGAAAAAGTCATAAAGAATGAAATGAATGTAAATAAAAAATTAGAAAATTGCAATTGCTGTGGTCTAGTCTGGTGATCTGGTGAGTGAATGGCAGAAGAAAAAAAAATTAATTTGATTGGGAAAGGATACGTACCTATGCTGGAATAAGAATTGATGTAATTTTCCCACCAACGCATTGAAACCAGTATCAAGGGTATGGCTAATATTTGCACATGTATTGAATTGACAAAGGATGGCCAGACCACAAATGCCGTTGACTGTGACATTAGGGCCAAAATGCTAATTGTATAAACGGCAATGGATTTCCAGTGTTTTCGGGTACCAACAAGAATGTCTGTAACGAGGGTTATATTGTAAGTATCAAAACCTTTTTTTATTTTCTGTACACTTGAAATGTTTGACAGCCGCCAATCAATCTTAGACGTCAATCAATTTTAGAAATGTAATTTAAACAACATGCGAGATTATGATTGGCTAGTTAAACATTCCATCATGTATACACCAACATGAAAGGAAACACGTAAAAAAATACCGTAGAAAACCTCTCAAATGAAGCCCCTTATATGGGGGCTATACGATTACCGATGTGACCCATTTTCTGTACAAATGATTTTTAATGTAATCCCAAGACAATTGGACTAGTACTTTGATTACTTTTATACAGCATCCCAGAAAATATGACATTATTCTGTGTGATATAGCCAGTAAAGGAAGAAAAAAGTTCGTCCGGGGTTACTATTTGATGCTAAAAATGTTAAGCCGATCTTCCACTTTCCACTAAATCTGACAGTTAAACATTTCTGATGTTTCCGTTTGCTTTTTCATGTTACAAGCAAATGCCGAAGTGTGGTGTTGGATATAAATATTTTATTTAAAATTCTATAAATGGTGCAGCACCAAACTCGAGCAATCACATGTTACAAATTTCTAGAAAATTATTCATTTCACGGGGTCAAACGGCATAATTTTTACATATTTTTTTAATTTTATTGAATGAAAGCAAAAATGTCGGAAATAACATTACATTTTAAAATTAGTTAAGATTTGTTCGAATTGGTCACCTTTGGCACAAAATATGGCCTTTAAACGGCCAATGAAACCGTCACATGCTGGCCGAATGTTTCTATGCGTTATTTTGGCCCATTCCCGGCGAAGCGATTGCTTGAGGTGATCGACACTTAGGTATTTTTTGTGCCAACCTTGCTTTCTAAAATACTCCAAACACAATAGTCCAACGGATTAGTATCCGCAGATTTTGGTGGCCATTGCGCGCTGGAAATGAAGCGAGGAAGCTCATTTTGTAACCATTCTTGGGTGGCGCTTGCTGAATGCGATGGTGCTGAGTCTTGTTGATATGTCCAAGGTCTGCGGCCAAAATGTTTGCGTGCCCAAGACTAATACACTCTACAGAATATTTTCGTGATAATATTCGGCATTTATACTAATGCTACGGAAGATTAATAAGAGCGGAGAGCGACCATCGGCTGTTATGTCGGCCCGCACCATCACCATGGGCGGTGCTTGAGTTCTGGTGGCCAACCGAAGGTGCACATTTCAGCTGACCTCTTTGACAAGTAAACATGATAATTTTGTTTGTTTACAAACTTCTACCACTTTCGACCAAGCGAAGCAACTCTTTGGCTCTTTTGAGTCTATTTTCTTTCTGTTGTGGTGTAAGTTCTTGCACATTTTGGAATTTCAACGGCTTTACCCCGAACTCATTTTTCAATATTTGCCGAATGGTATATGCGATATGTTCAGCTCACGAGTCATTTTTGGTCGCTTCTTTTCTTTTCGAACAATTTCTGCAGATGTTGCTGTTTTCTTCCGTCCACTTCCTTGAAGTTGGGCAACGCTACCAGTATCACGGTAACGAGCGATGGTACGAGACACAAAAGATTTATTCACATTTAAATGTTGGAGTGCTTTAACAATAGCCACTTGTGATTTTCCAGTCAAATATAAAGAAATCGCACTATCCCGCTTGAATTCCATCACGAATAACTTTTTTTCTGGAAAATTCTCTCCAAAATTGATTTGTACGCTTGTAAACAATATAATGAGCTATTACCGGAATAATTTTTACAGCTTTCGGACAAGTGGCTTAGAAATGACAGCAGTCTGAAGTTGGTTGCAGTTTTTCATGTTACCCTCTATATATAATGAGGCCTCTAACGATTATTTCGGGTTTTGTTAGAACGGAATGAGAAAATTAAAAAAATTGCACCATCTTATGGTGGACCTTATGTGAATGATAAACACTCCTTTCCATTATGGCGGCTATAAACACAAACCATGCCCAGCATTTTGAAATCAGATTTGATTTGGTGTGTTGTGTTGTATTTAACATTTAACTTATAAATCCCAAAACACTTAAGTTTCTTCTCATTTGTTAAACTTGGCTGTCACTTTAGATTCGCATTGTAACCTCTTACATCATTGTGTACTTACTTAAAAGGGCCGGTGTAAAGCAAACACTGCTACATAACATCAACGCTTTTACCGAATCCAAATGTGCAAAAACGTAAAATGTCAGTAGGGCCAATCCGATTACATGAAGCAATTCAAAGGAAATCACCTATATGTTAGAAGAAAAGTGAATGAATAATTTGAGGAATCAAAGTCGCTGCATCAAGATAAAGATAAACTTGGAATGCTTTTAATTTGTCAGTACTAACTAGAGACGTCAAGAACCAAAGGCCGCAAAGAAAATTCTCAAAGTCATATATTGTTTCTGCAAATAACTCTCATAACATTTTCTTTGTGACAATTGGTTTCTGAAAGAATGATAATTAATATCTTTCGTTTACACATTACATTTTTAAACATGTGATAATTTTATCCTGATCTATGTACTTACCAATAAAACTTCTGGCCATGTAGGTGATTTCACATCCTTGAATATACAAATTCGAAGGGAACGAAAAAAGGTAAAAACTTCTGGTGCAGCGAAAGAAATAATGAGTCCCCACAGCCACACAATATGTTCCGTTATGGGTAAATTGACAATATAATCTACGTCGCGATCTGAAATTACAAAATTCAAGATAAATTTTACAATACCAAACAAGAAAAAAAGCAGTAAGTTCGGCCGGGCCGAACTTTGAATACTCTCCACCATTTGGAACGAATTAGGACATTTTCAAAAAATAAAATCCAGTAGAATTCACGAAATTATAGAAGTTTTTTGGGTTGCGTTGAAAACTATTTCTAATTCTTTGTAGATATGCCGAATAACATTTTAAATTTTCAGTATTATACTTATTTCGAGCTTTGGAGTAATTGGAGTAGTTTAAGGATGAGTTAGTTTTCAACGCAACCCAAAAAACTTCTATAATTTCGTGAATTCTTAAAGAAAAGTTAATGAATTCCCTAGCTGTATGAAATTCGGCAGCACAGAGGCTACCGATGATTCTGATATTGCAAACTTGTTCGCAGATTTTTTTCAGAATAGCTATTCAACTACAGCTTTAACATTAATAGACTGAATTTTTTGCCCCAAATTTTGCTTACGGAAAAAGAGGTTTTAAATGGTTTAAAAACTTTAAAAAGTTCGATCTCCCCAGGTCCGGACGAGATACCGACAAACGTTCTTAAATTATGTGCAATTGAATTATACATACCACTTTCGAAATTATTTAATTACTCTTTATCTTTAGGCTACTTTCCTTATTTTTGGAGATCTAGTTATATAATTCCTCTCCATAAAACTGGTAGTCGTTGCAATATTGAAAATTATAGAGGTATTGCTAAGCTTAGCGCAATACCTAAACTTTTTGAATTTTTGGTTTCGCGTAGGCTAACACACTTTGTGGCTCCAATTTTTTCTCCGTGTCAACACGGTTTCATCAGAGGTACGTCAACTTTGACTAATTTTATGGAATTAAAATGCTATGTTCATAATGGTTTTGCTAATAAATTTCAAACTGATGTAATTTATACCGATTTTAGTAAAGCTTTTGACACTGTCGTACATAGTTTATTACTCCACATGCTTGATATAATGGGTTTCCCTACATTATTGTTAGAGTGGATTTCATCATACCTTGAAAACCGTACTCAAAAGGTGTCTTTCATAAATACCATCTCAAAAAATATTCTAGTCCATTCTGGTGTTCCCCAGGGAAGCCATTTAGGGCCATTACTATTCGTTCTCTATCTCAATGATCTTCCGTCAGTTGTAAGGTTTTCCAAAATTCTAATGTTTGCAGATGATGTTAAGCTGTTCATTAATCTCGATTCTCTCAATAGTTCATTACATTTACAACATGATCTACATTCCATTGTAAATTGGTGTGGTATAAATGGCATGTCACTAAATCTTAAAAAGTGCAAAAAATTATCATTATTCAGATCTAGACATATTCAATCTGATTACTTCGTAGGTTCATACAAATTGGAGAATGTAGACTCATTTGGTGTTATTTTTAGACAATAAACTTCGTTTTAACTTACACATTGAATCTAGCGTTAATAAAGCAAAGTCTCTTCTAGGTTTCATTAAGCGCTGGTCTAAAGAGTTTGAAGACCCTTACGTAACTAAACGCTTGTTTACTAGTCTAGTTAGACCTACATTAGAGTATGGTTGCGTGTTGTGGAGTCCATTTTACAAATGTTACTCTAATTCAATAGAAACAGTTCAAAAACAAATCATTATATTCGCTCTCAAAGGTCTGCCCTGGAATCCGTCTGAAGCACTCCCCCCTATGAAAATCGATTAAAACTTATAGACCTTCCATCGTTAGAAAGAAGGCGTTTAATGCTTAGAGCAATATTTTTAATACGACTTTTGCGTGGTCAAATTGATTCACAATTTTTAATTAGCGAAATAAAGTTTAATGTTCCGTCTAGAATAACTCGTAGCTATATACACCTAAATCTTTCCTTGGCGAGGTCTAACTACGAACTAAGCAACCCCCTTAGATCTTTATGTGAAATACATAACAACCTCTATAATAATTTATCACTATCTGAACCTTTGCATGCAATAAAAATATCAATACTTAACTTGTAATTATAGTATTAGGAGCCGCCAGATTTGTATTTTTGCTCGTTGTGTGTGATTTGTAATCGTATTGGGAGGTGGCCCCCTCGGTCGGCAGGGGCGGGTAAGAGTGGCGTTGGGACCGAACGAAAAAAAAATTCTGTTAAAATCTCGGAAGGTGCCGATATATGGGGTGATAGACGATATTGTGGACCTATATAGAAAATCTATGTCTAGGGTTAAGTACTCACAAATAACTCCTTGTATATGATTTAAGACAATTCCGTTTAAAAATGTGGCTAAAATCATCAAAATACCGAATATCGGGGGGTACCGTTACATGGGGGATGTACGATATCATGGACCTATATAGAGATCACCCTGTCAGGTGGTAAAGTGTTCACAAAGAACCCCTTGTGTAGAATTTCAGACAATTCCGTTGAAAAATGTGGCTAAAATCATCAAAATACCGAATATCGGGGGGTTCCGTTATATGTGGACTATATGATATCGTGGACCTTTATAGATATTTCTCTTTCAATAAATAAAGTACTCACAAGGAACTCGTTGTGCGGATTTTCAGACCATTCCATTGGCAATTGTGGCTAAAATCATCAAAATCCCGAATATCGGGTGATACCGTTATATGGAGTTTATACGATATTTTGGACCTATATTGACAAATCCCTTTCAGGGGTTAAAGTGCTCACAAGGAAACCCTTGTGTAAAATATTAGACAATAGAACCCCTTGTGTGGATTTTTATACAATTCCATTAGAAAATGTGAGTAAAATAATCAAAATACCGAATATCGGGGGTACCGTTATATGGGGGCTATACGATATCGTGGACCGATATAGCCCATCTTCGAACTTGACCTGCCTGCAGACAAAAGAGAGATCTGGGCAAAAGAGAGATCCGCAAAGAAAACGCTTGTAATCATGTGTTGTTCATTTGAATAGCTTTGATACTTCAATATGGATTCTTGGGGGTTACAAATTCAACAAAATACAAAATTTTCTTTTCTGACCACACATTGGTTGGGAAAGTGGACTTGGGGGTACACTAATGTGCGGACTACACTTAAATAAATGCCTATGTGGACAATTATCTGTAAGCTGGTTCGCTACCCCAGACTAGCGTAAATACAATTTTTTAGCCAAATAAATTGCTGAATATGGTCAAGACCAAGATGGACCCTACTCGGAAAATTGAAAATTGTATGCGAAGAGGTTTTCTATCCCCTTAGAAACCAAGTTGCCAAATAAGGGGAAAAATGAAAAAAGTGGCAAAGACCCCGAATATAGCTTAAATCATATGATGATTATACCAAAACGTGATTAGTTTCTGTTAGGATTGTTTCTTCTAAAATTACCAACATTTGCAAATATTAATATGAAACAAGTTAAAAAGCAGTAAGTTCGCCCGGGCCGAACTTTGAATACCCTCCACCATTTGGAACGAATTTATAAATTTTCAAAAAAATAAAATCCTTAAAACATTCTGTTAAAATTAAAATAAAACGAATATTGCCGTTATATTGAGTATATACGACGTGGACCTACACAGGTATTGCTTGTCATAAGTCATTACCATATTCAAATTCGAAACTTGAAATAAACGGTGAATAATGTAGCTAAAATCATGAAAATGTCGTATATAGGGAGATAGACAATATTCTGTCATAGGCTGTAGCATCCATTACGAACTTAAAATACGACATCTCAAACAATGTCGGTGGGTATTGTACCTAAACTCGTCAAAATACCGAATATAGGGAGGTACTGGTATATGGGACCTATACGAAGACCTGGACCAGCATAGACAATTTTCCGTCAAAGACTGTAGTTCCCATTACGAACTCTAAATAAGTAAATTGAAACAATTCCGATTAATAATGACGCTAAAATCATCAAAATATCGAATATTGGGAGGTATTTCACTAATTGCAGTCCCAATGAATTTAGCATTATGAGTTCTCATTGGACGTATTATTATCATATGGCGGAAGTAAGTCCACGCTTTGAAATGAGCTTCATAACGATTTGTCGGTAAATTTTGTTTGTATAAATGTTCAGTTTCAGTTTCGCCACCACATAATTCGGTAAAACACTTCAATGTAAGTATATATATATATATATATATATATATATATATATATATATATATATATATATATATATATATATATATATATATATATATATATATATATATATATATATATATATATATATATATATATATATATATATATATATATATATATATATATATATATATATATATACTAGCTGAACCCGGTGACCTTAGCTACCCCTTTTGATTTTATATGCATTCAAAATCATATGTTGGATAAAGAAAAACATTGCACTAATTTAAAAGAGCTGTTGGATCGACCTGGCCGAACTTTAAATACTCACCACTATTCGAAACGAATTTATCAGTTTTCAAAAACGTAAAATCCGTTACAAATTCTGTTAAAATCTTAAAAATGCCGAATTTAGCCGTAATATTAGGGTCTATACGACGACGTGGACCTGCATAGGCAACTTTTGTCATAAGCCATTACAATATTCCATTGAAAAAATGGGTGAATAATGCCGATAAAATCATCAATATACTGAATATTGCGAGGTACCGTTATATTGGGGATATACGAAGACGTGGACCTGCACAGACCATTTTCTGTCTTAGGCAGTAGAATCCATTACGAACTTCAAATACCAAATTTGAAACAATTTCGATGAATAATGTCGCTAAAATCAATCATATCAAATATAGGAGGTATCGTTATATGGGGGTTATACGAAGACGTGGACCTAGACAATTTTCTGTCATAGGCTGAAGTATCCATTACGAACTTCAAATACAAAATTTGTAACAGTTCCGGTGAACAAATGTCGCTAAAATTTTCAAAATAGCGAATATCTGGAGGTTCCGTTATGTGGGAGCTATATGTGGATCTACACGGACAATTTTCTGTCATTGAATGTAGTATCCATAACGAACTCCAAATTTCAAAGAATTCCGGTGAATAATGTCGCTTAAATCACCAATATACCGAAAATAGGAATGTACCATTATATGGGGGCTATACCAAACACTTTCACTCTCTTAAACTATACTGTATACTGTAAATTTCTGAGCGAACATCTCAAGAACTGAAAACGTTGAAAGATTGCTCCAAACAGATGTTATTGTTTTGGAAAGGGATACCTATTGCTTTTTTATCTTCCTGAAAGCCATGTAGTAGTAACTGCATATCGCTAAAAAGTAATGAATTGGTGAGAGAAGCTAAAACTTACTTCCAAATGTTTGCAAGGGAATTTGGATGAGTTAAAAATGATTATCGAATATACATAGACTAATCGATTGACATTGTTTCCAAATTCTCACAATTTTAAAACAGTTTTAGATTTTTCATGTTGTCACTTTAAAGATAAGTTAGCGAATTTAAAATATTTGTATATGAACTTGTACATATAAATGGGTCAGCGGGCTGCTGCAAACTGTGCAGCTGTGGGGATATGCAACGTTCTTTTTGTGACTGAACTCACATGCTATCTGTGAATATTCTATCGATTTTTTTATCCAATTCCATTGGTTGCTTCAAACCGAATATCTTTATGCGACACAAATGTACATACATACCTACAATGTTGCAGTATTTAAGACTTCGGTGCGGTTGAACTTGAGCCACCATAAAAATAAATGAGATTTTCGAAGCAATGGCTGTGACCAGGACGGTGATAAATACAAAAATGTACGTAAAAAGCTTAAAGAGTTTTAAAAAAATTCCCAGTTTGTTCCAACTTGCGGCAGAGCCGGTAGCCTTCTTTGAGGGCGGGTCTTGGAACGAATCCCATAGTGGAGGCTTTTCTTTGTTTTTGCTAGAATATTTCAACAGATTATGCCTTTTTTCAGAGCAAATGGCCACATCACTTTTACCGGTTTCTGCTGAAGGTGTCATCAATGATATCATCGTCTGCATCCATTTTATTCTTTTCCTTTTGTTTGAAAATTGTTCAATTCACTTATGGTCTGATTGAGTTTTCACTTGGACAGATAAATGCGTACTAAACAGATCGATGTGCTTCTTTGCCACACCTGTAAGTGTTGAATTGATAGGGGAATTGATTTTATGATAAGAAGTGCTGTGATTCATATCAGTCAGTGTCAATTTTGTTTTTGATATCGTCTCATCGGTGCAGTTTTTATGATTTAACGAGAGTGGGTGAGTGAAATAACAGAAGTTGTTTTTCTGAAGTGTGCATCATTTTGTCATTGTTAAATTGGTTTGAACATACCAAGAGTGGATACAAAAGGTCGAATTCATTATATTCCATCATAAAATTCAGATCTTATCAATTTTGTAATTCCTTTGTTCTCTAATTAAGTGAGAGTTCAGGCAGTCCTTCCACATGCCTGCCTATTGAATTTCCAATGTAGTTCACATTCTTGATAACCTTCTAGATAAACTTAAAATTGAAGTGGTAACACGTTTCCGATTTTTCTTCATACTCGGAGGAAAAAAATTGTCTCTCTAACATATGTCCCCAAACATATTTTGCAGCAAACATATATATGTTTGTAACAGGCCCAAACATAACATATGTTTGGGTACTGCAAATAAACATATGTTTAGATGCAATTATATATACATGCTTGGATGCAAGTAAATTTATGCTTGGATTCAAGTATATATGCTCTTGGAGGCGAGTACATATATATTTGGATGTAAACATACATGTACTTCAATACAAACATATATATGCTTGGATTCAAGTATATATATGCTTAGATATAAGTAAAAAATGCTTGTAATTAAGCATATATAAGCTCGTATCGAAGAATACATATACTTAAATGCAAGTATATATATTTTTAGATGTATTTGTATAGTTACGCTAGATATAATGCTATGAATGAGGAAAATCAATTTTTTAATGCATTGGTAATAACCAAATTTTATTTCATAAAATAAAATAATAATATATACATATAATAAATTTATGTTTAATATCAATTCATAAATAACAAAACAAACCAGCTTTTATTCTAAACAATAAACGCAAAATAATACTATACTTTAACTATTAAGGTTTATTATTTACACTCATGTCTTTATTCAAAAAAGTAAAAAAATAGTGGTCTTACCTCCAATAAGCAACTCAATTTGGAATGTTGTTGTTAAAAATAAAATATTTTGCACAGATAAAATAATTAAGTAGTCCAAATGGTATAAACAAATGCAAACGCAACGAAAGTGATACGGCAGCGAGCTCTTAAATCAAAAACAAAGTAAAAAAGCAGTAAGTTCGGCCGGGCCGAACTTTGAATAACCTCCACCATTTGGAACGAATTAGAAAATTTTCAAAAAAATAAAATCCATTAAAAATTCTTTTAAAAGCTTTAAAGTATCTACTATAGGAAGGTGCTGATATACGGGGGGATACGATACGATATTTTGGACCTATAAAGACAAATATATGTCTGGGTGTAAAGTACTCACAAGGAACTCCTTGTGTGGATTTTCAGATAATTCCATTGGAAAAAGTGGCTAAAATCATCAAAATACCGAATATAGGGGAGTACCGTTATATGGGGGATATACGATATTGTGGACCTATATAGACAATTCCGTTTCAGGGGGTAAAGTGCTCACAAAGAACTCCGTGTGTGGATTTTCAGACAATACGATTGGAAAATGTGGCTAAAATTATCAAAATACTGAATATAGCGGGGTACCGTTCTATGGGAGGTATACGTTATCGTTAACTTATATAAAGAATTCTCTGTCGGGGGGTAAAGTGCTCACAAAGAACCCCTTGTGACCATTCCGTTGAAAAGCGTGGCTAAAACCATCAAAATACCGAATATCGGGGGTACCGTGATATAGGGGCTATTCGATATCGTTGACCTATATAGATAATTCCCTGCCGAGGTATAAAGTACCCACAAGGAACTCCTTGTGTGGATTTTCAGCAATTCCGATGAAAAATGTGGGTAAAATCATCAAAATACCAAATATCGGGGGGTACAGTTATATGGGGGATATACGATATCGTGAACCTATATAGATAATTCTCATTCAGGGGGTAAATTGCTCACAAGGAACTCCTTGTGTAGAATTTCAGACAATTCCGTTGAAAATATGTGGCTAAAATCATCAAAATATCGAATATCGAGGGGTACCGTTATATGGGAGCTATACGATATTGCGGACCGATATAGTCCATCTTCGAACTTGACCTGCCTGCAGATAAAAGACAGATCTGTGCAAAATTTTAGCTTCCTATCTTCATTCGTTTTGACTGTAGCATAATTACAACTGACGAACGGACGGACAAGAAAAAAATATCTCTTTCCAGTAAAATTTCTCTTTGCTTATTTAAATCAAGAACAAAACAGTGTTAAGTCAATATTTATACAAATACTAGCTGGCCCGGTCCGCGTTGCCGGCCCGTAATTTTAGTCTTTAATGCTTATTATATCCTCCACCTTGGAAAGGAGGGTATATAAACTTTTCATTCCATTTGTAACATCCATAAATGTTCGTCATAGACCCCATAGAATATACATATGTATATTCATAATCAGCACAAAATTCTAAGTCGATTTGTCCGTCTGTGTGTCTGTTTGCTTCAATTACGATGCAGCCTACATTATTTGACGTAGAGCATAAAAATTTAGCAGAACAATTTGTATTGTGTATAGTATGGTTGGTATTGAAAATGAGATCTATCGATCCACGTTTTGGTATAGTCCCCATATAACGGTATCTCTCGAAATTCGGTATTTTGATGATTTTTGCCACATTTCTCCTCGGATTTGTCTAAAGGTAAGGTCACATTGAGCAAATATTTGATGAAAAATGTCAAATATTTCTTTGCCACAATCTGACCACCAAATATTATTTGACGGTAAATACAAAAACAGCTGATTTTGGGAAAACAAAATTATTTGCCAGAAAACAAAAATTTGACCAGTGTGTCCATAATGTGAACACCTATGATCAATTATTTTCCTCTTTTTTGGTCAAACATTTATTTGACGGTGCAAATGTTTTGTAAGGTCAAACAAGGAAAAATATCAGTTTAAAACATTGGGCAGCATTTGGCTTTAAGAACAGGAGCATTTGTAACATGATGTTTAATGAATAGAAAAGCAAACGAATACAATAGGTGGTTTTGTTTATTTGATATTTTTGAATTAACTGAATTTAAATGTTTAGTAAAAATTTAATATATGGTCTGTTCCAGAACTGCAAGATGTAAAAGTTTTTACTACTATTACCGATTTTCCCTTTATTATATCGAAGAAAATTGACAAACTAGTAGATTCTTGCAGGTTCAGGAATAGGATATAGGTAGATGCATCAACGAAACATTGATATGTCAAACATTTTGAAATGTTTTGACAAAAATAAGAAGATTTTTCTATGTTTTCTTTTACGTAATGATATGTATTTTTCAACAATATTTACAAATTTCAATAATATTTCATTCATAATAGTTTTGTCAGTTCATTGTCCCAGCAGCTATGTCGATGCGACTATCAGTATTCTTTTACCGTGATACAAACATACAAAAATTCAAAAAAAAAAAAAAAAAACAAGTTAAAAAGCACTAAGTTCGGCCGGGCCGAACTTTTAATACCCTCCACCATTTGCAACGAATTTGGAAATTTTTAAAAAATAAAATCCTTAAAAAATTCTGTTAACATTTTAAAAATACCGAATATAGCCGTCATATTGGGGTCTATACGACGTGGACATACATAGGCATTGCTTGTCATAAGTCATTACCATATTCAAATTGGAAACTTGAAATAAACGGTAAATAATGTAGCTAAAATCATCAAAATATCGTATAAAAGGAGGTGCCGTTAAATTGGAGCTGTGCAAAGACCTGGACCAGCATAGACAGTTTTCTGTCACAGGCTGTAGCATCCATTACGAACTTCAAATACCACATTTCAAACAATTTCGGTGGGTATTGTACCTAAAATCGTCAAAATACCGAATATGGGGAGGTACTGATATATGGGGCCTATACGAAGACCTGGACCCGCACAGACAATTTTCTGTCACAGACTGTAGTATTCATTACGAACTTCAAATACCAATTTTCAAACAATTCCGGTGAATAATGTCACTAAAATCATCAAAATACCGAATATAGGGAGGTACCGTTATTGGGGGGCTATACGAAAACGTAGACCTGCACAGACAATTTTCTGTCTAAGGGTGTAGTATCCATTTTGAGCTTCAAGTACCAAATTTGAAACAATTCCCGTGAATAATGTCGTTAAAATCACCAAAATACCGAATATCAGGAGGTACCGTTATATGGGGGCTATACGAAAAAATGGACTTGCACAGACAATTTTCTATCTTAGACTGTAGTATTTATTACGAACTTCAAATACCAATTTTCAAACAATTCCGGTGAATAATGTCGCTAAAATCATGAAAATACCGAATATAGGGAGGTACTGATATATGGGGCCTATACGAAGATCTGGACCCGCACAGAAAATTTTCTGTCACAGACTGTAGTTCCTATAACGAACTTCAAATACCAAATTTGAAATAATTCCCGTGAATAATGTCGTTATAATCATCAAAATACTGAATATCGGGAGGTACCGTTGTATGGGGGCTATACGAAGACATGGACTTGCACAGACAATTTTCTATCTTAGACTGTAGTATTCATTACGAACTTCAAATACCAATTTTGAAACAATTCCGGTGAATAATGTCGCTAAAATCATCAAAATACCGAATATAGGGAGGTACTGATATATGGGGCCTATACGAAGATCTGGACCCGCACAGAAAATTTTCTGTCACAGACTGTAGTTCCTATAACGAACTTCAAATACCAAATTTGAAACAATTCGCGTGAATAATGTTGTTAAAATCATTAAAATACCGAATATAGGGAGGTACCGTTATATGGGGGCTATATGAAAACGTGGACCTACATGGCCCATTTACGAACTTAACCTGCCTACTGGAAAAATAAATATGTGTGCAAAATTTTAGCCATCTATCTCAATTCATTCGAAAGATAGCGTG